CTTCCTTCCTTCCTTCCTTCCTTCCTTCCTTCCTTCCTTCCTTCCTTCCTTCCTTGTAGTTTTAATTTTGTTTCTATTTTTTTAAATTCTTTTTTCGTTGTTTTTCTTTTTCTCGCTTCTATCCTTCTTCTTTCCTGACAGTTGCAAACGACCGTTACAGTTCAAATGTACATAAGTGTCTTTAAATTATCCCTATTACAGTGCCAAACTGCACGAGTCATTATGTTCTTTTGATAAAAATAAAACAAAGCAAAACAATATAAAAACTGAAAAGTATAAAAAAAGCAAACAAAAATCATCACACCCCCCGTCCCCCCGGGCGCTCATATAAATCCTTAAATACATGTGTTCTTGCGTGTTCATAAAACTGTATTTTCAATTAATTTACTACTAAGTATGTGTCAGAAAGCCTATTGTGTTCATTTCGCCATGCGTTTTATCAAGGATCAAAAGCTGTGTAATCTACCACGACGCATAAAATAAATTGTCCTACACACACACGCGCAAACGCGGCTACACACACACACACAACGCAAGCGCGCATACACTGGTAAAATATAAATATATATTAAAAATTAATTTAAAAAGAAATCAAATTTAATTAATGTATAAAATACAGTAACAATAACATAATAATCAGAAACCGAAAATTAAAAAAAATAATACCTTAACCTATATCATCGGTACTAGTTTAACGAAATGTAATGTTCTTCATGTCTTGGTAGGCCAAGTTGCTATTAAAATTGTATCTTCCTTTTCGTTAGAGTTTTACTCAAACGCTGAAAGTGTATCCTTCAAAACGTATTTTCCCCTTAATAGCATACTATAATAATATATCATGGCAATAAAGGTATTTTTGCTGTTCTAAGATCAAAGAAAACGTCCAGGAAAATGAGTCTTCAATTACCTTAATCTATAATAGGCTTTTAGATTCTGTAAGTCATACAACTTTTAGAGAGCGATTTGTTTCTATCTTGTTCATTCCACGGACGCGAGCCAGACAAAATAAT